CGCAGTGTGGGTTCCTGAGAAATAATTAAGAGACATCATATTTGAAGGGCAAAGCAAAGCAATTCAATGCAATGCCAATTGGTAGCAAAAAAGAATGAATGAAATGAAATGAAATTGTGATACTTGTCGTCTTGAGGTGCCGCCTGCTTTGTTCCCAACCAACCCAGCTACATAGCTATCCGCGCCACCAATTGGCCAAGCGAGTGGTTGTCCCCCTGCATGAGTGATGAGTGATGAGTGATGAGTCCAAGTTGGTTAGTTTATTTATTTTGAGGCTCTTATGGATTGCATTTTGTGGCTTTCGGTAGCGCGTGGCGGAGTATGCGCCTCAGGCGTTAAATCGCGTGGTCCTTTCTTGCTTGGCTTTCTTTCCTGTCCTTTTTTTTTTTATATATATTTTTTCTTTATCGCGTTGCTGCCAGTGCTTTTTTTCAGGAGGTTTGCGTAACTACTTGATATGTTTGTTATATGGAGTATACTACTAGTACACACTACGATGTAATGAATAAGGCTGGCTGGGTTGAATCAATCATAAAAATTTCAACATGTCGACTTCATGAACTATTGCTATGGCGGATTTGGATATTCCTTCCGCGAGAGCTGGGGTTAAGACTGATTGCAATAGTAATAACGTACAGGGAGTTACTTTACACTGTACCTGCACAGAACTGAATAAAATAAAACAAACCAAAATAAAATAAAATAAAATAAAATTCTCAATTTGCCTCTTTCTCCCGCGGCATCTTTCGCGTAGAATTCACGGCCGTTAACCATGCGTGAACTGTCTGGGTAAAAAAACCTTCTCGATCTCCTGAATATTGATCTGGAAGGACTCGGCGGGAAGAAGCCGGGGAGAGCTCTCTCTCTCTCTCTCTCTCGCTCCCCCACACCCCACCTCAACCCACCTCAAGCTTCGCCGAAGCTGCCCAGCAAAACTATCGAATTTATTTACCGAGCTATTGCCGAACCTTGCAAGCTAGTATACACGGGAGTTTAGGCGACAAAGACCGTTCTTAACTAGCTACCGCACAAACTTAACCTACAAAGCCAGCGAGTTTAATCGTGGAAAGATTGATGAGTGGGGGAGGGAAGGAGGGAGGGAGGGAGAGAAGGCTGTCGGTGGAATTCCTTCAGGAGTCAGGTTCTTGGATGAAGGCCGGGGGGGGGGAAACAGGAAAGCAAAAAAGTCTCCAGCAGGTCTCCTCGTTTCTCCCACGTTAATGTCAGGAACTACTCCGTACTTTGTTGTTACGCAGTAAACCTGTGATTCTCGGCATGTTCGATGACAGCTACAAGAAGTAGTACGGAACACCCTGAATTACTTGGCTGGTTATTATATTTCCTTGATTGGATGGCCGTCATTCAATCTGGGCGCCCCGTTTCGAGAAGATTGATGATAACGATAATAATACCTGCTTACGGCTTGCCTCTGCGTGGGAAGTCCATGGGCCGTTGTCGTGCTCCGTGCTGCGTGCTGCGGCTGCGGACGGTTTGTGTGCAACCTGCTCTTTTTGGTTCCGTGGTTGCTGGTTGCTGCTGGTAAGTGGTGGTAAGTGGTGGTGGTGGTGGGCCCCTCAGAGCGTTTCTTTCTCCCACTTTCACTTTCACGGCGATAGCGCCAAAAAAAAAAAAAAAAAAAAAAAAAAAAAAAGGCACCAAGATGCGCTTCTTTATTTAGAACCAGCGACCCGAAAAAGCAAAGTGGAAAAAAGACTTGAATCACCAAACGCCGAAAAGGAGCCAATGCCGGCAGTCAAAACAGCAGCAGGCTAGCGATGAATAGTATGTAGTATGGATTACGTTGTAGTAAGGGGAGAGAAATTAATAATAACAAGTCATAACGAATAACTACCCAATTCGGCACTTTCGTAGGTACTTGTTACTAACTCATGGTTACCATCGGCAAATGAAAATCGAGCATGGCAGCCTCGAAGTCAAAATTCGACTGGTTTTTTTTTTTTTTTTTTTGCAAATCAAATTGAGTGTGTGGGAGTCGTTGGTTACCCGCCACCTGTGATTCTGCGAATGAGATCGATCCATGGATGCCGCGCACAGTAGCATTTTTTTTGCTCTTTTTTTTTTCTCTCTTCTATTTCTTCTTTTTCTTTCTTCCTTTCTTTTCTTTGAACAGTCAAGGAAATTCGGTGCGCGGTTATGTTCAAAAGGGAAAAAAAAAAAAAAAGAAATAGTAAATGAAGGTAACATGGAGGAGATCTTAGGCTTTGAGTACTAGCAGTACTTTTTACTTATGAGCTTAATAGTACTACCAAATAAATAATACATGTTGACACCCCAGAGCGATTCCACAGATCCTCTCAAGATCCCCGACCTTAAACGTAAAGCATAGACAGGGAGGAAGGAGGTATTATTCCCCGATTATTCCAGGCAGACAGACAGACAGCGAAGGATCTCCAAAAAATGGAGGTATACGCAGCGTATCCTTTCATGATGGACGACGGTACTTTTACTAGTACCGAGGTTGCCCCCTCCCGTTCTAAATTCGCTAGAACATCGTTCCATTGCATTTCTGCATTTATTCGGCCGAAGTTTATTTGTTGTGTGACCTATCGATCTATGCTCTTTTGGAGTCGGTGCTTGTGTGCTAGCGAATATCATGATCAAAACAATCAAACAAACCCTGCGACGAGTCACAGATGGTGTTCTGTAGGGAGTACTGGGTGTCGTATCCATACGGGGCGACTCCACCGAACTACTGACTCGCAACAACAACAACAACGACGACGACGACGACGACGACGACGACGACGAAAGCCGCCCGCTCCCGTAAACTCGATCAGAATCCGGATGAAAACACTAGACACTATTGTTTGCCCGATGCGGAACGTTGGGAAGGGTTTTCATTCGCAGAGAAGAAAGGACTAACCGTGCCATGCTTACTCACTCTCTCTAGTGAGTGCGCCACAGCGTACGGAAAACCACACTGCATGGAAAATATTATCAATATCTTCATTCTTCATCTTCAAATAATCATCATTAATTATAACCATGTCTAAATCTTCTAATTACACTGAGGAGCAGTTGTAAAGAGCTGTTGATGTATATAAAAGCAATTCAAAATTAAAAATCACATCTCTGTCACAAAAATTCAAAGTCTCATATACCATTTTATATGAGAGAATCAATGGAAAGAAATCAAGGACTATGAGGGTTCCACTGAATAGAGCATTGAATGACAGCCAGAAGGAGACAATTAAAATATGAATTCAATAATTGAATATTAATTTTTGCTCATTCATCATCAAGCATATCAAAGATGCTGTAAATTGAATGTTGAAACAGCATCATACAGATTCAGAGACTGCACCTCTCATAATAAATAAAATGTGAACATATCAATTCATCAAACATCTGTCAGATTATGAATGAGTCAAGTAAAAGCTCATGAATTTAAAACAGATATTTTGTGAAAATATAAACTTCATTATCAACTGATTTGATTGATATGGAGCTGTAATATACTCATTTATTATTTCTTTATTATTATATTATCTTTGTTTATATCTTTGTTTATTTTTACCTCTTTTCATTATACTCTCGCTACTGCTATTTTTATATGTATATATATATGAATGTATGTATTTCGCACATCTTCTTTCTCTTTCTTTTTCTTTTTAATGATTAGTTACAATTACACTACTACTATAATTACTATTGCTATTATCTTTCATTATATTATATACTATCTTCTACTATTTACTTTTCACACTGTCATCACCCCTCACAGAAGCTGTCTTCAATCAATATCATTTTTTTCACTGCAATATCTACAACTTTGATGAGATTGAATTTCAAGAAGAAGAAGAATATGAACAGTGAGTTATAATCATTTTAAAAAATATAAATTCTGTCATACAATCATTATATTTCCACAGAATAATAACAATGATGAAGTGTGTCAGTGCAGATGACACAGTATTGAATTTATTGATTATAATGAAATTAAAAATTCATTTAAAAAATTGATATACACATTTTAATTTATCTGATAATTACATCATCACTGCATCTGAATCTGACTTTATAAATGATGAGAGCAATCATTAATTGCTATTAATGAATAATCATGATTTTTATCTCACAGCAAAATTCATTCAATACTGCAATTTTTATAAAATTATTTTATTCAAATTTTCATTTCATACAAATCATATTTTACAATCTTTTAATGATATATCTCTTCAACAGTATAAGTATTATCATATAAAAATAATTAATAAGACTGTTTATTATGAATATGAGCAATATAATGACAGATAATTTTTTGTTAATCTGAAAAGTATTTGATTGCAAGCATTCAAATCTGACATTGTGAGAGCTAGCTTTGCTGACTGTGGAATGTATTCAATTAATTATGATATAATTCTCAATTGATTGAAACCTTTTATCATTAATGATGCTCTGAATTTCAATATATATGATGATGATGATAATGTATGCAATCACTTTATCTCACTGTCTGCAGATTGACTGTCAACTATTTCTTTGTAATTAATTTTTTCAAAAATAATTACAAAATTAAATCATCAAATCAATGCAGCAGTTAAGATTTTACAAAATGTGAAGAATATTTTGACATTTGATTTGATAAAACAGTTGAACAAAATCTTCAAGAGTAGTATGATTCAGATGAAATTGAATATATATTGTGAAAATGAACTTACAAATCATTATTAAATAAATAAACATTAAATTATCAAATTCTTTTACAAACAGATGCAAATAAGCAGAGTTCTCATTATTAAAAATGTTAGTTACAAAATCACAATCTGTAGAGCAGATGAGATGAAAAAGATATTCAATAAAAATCTTCAATTGATTGAAATCAAATCTACAAAATCTACAGCCATTCAATCATAATAAGATAATTTTATAAAATTTCAATCTACAGTGGATTCTACATCTTCTAATGAGTATATAGATAATCTTTATGTTATAGATAGATGTGATAATGGTTATTAATTAATTTTTGAAGATCATTATATTCAAAATATTTTCCATACACTGTGGTTTTCCGTACGCTGTGGCGCACTCACTAGAGAGAGTGAGTAAGCATGGCACGGTTAGTAGGGCTGGAAAGTTTTCTCGGGGGTCCGATTGAGGGAAAAGTGATATCATTGATAGACTATGTTAAAAAGAAGTAAAATAAAAGAAGTAAAATAAAATAATAATAATAATAATAATAATAATAATAATAATAATACAAGAAAGAATCATAGCATACAGCTAGCTCTAACTAGGGTCCCCTTCACTGGTAAGTTGGACCAAGTCCAAAGAAAAATCGAAAGCCAGTGAGTGGCCCTATCTCTCAGGCATGATCTGATCTGTCAAATCGAGCTCGATGCGAATAATAATAACAACAGCAGCAGCGGCAGCAGCACTAACCAACATCCAAAGCAAGCTGCCATCGTGACAAGCCCAGATCATCATCATGACCGATCAGGGCCATCAGCACTGATCACTGATGATCAGACGTCATTCCTCGCACCCGAACAACTAGCTGGGCATCCACTGATTGGACCCGAGGCAAACACCCCCCCCGCAACGCCCACACGTCCACGCCCTGCCCCGGCCACCTGGCGCCGTCGCACACAGCTCGCACCATGGCCCATGGGACGACGAAAGCTGAAGGAGGGTTCCACAGCATGAAGCATGAACAAACAAAAAATAAAAAAAAAAAAAAAAAAAGAAAAAAAAAAAAAAAGGGAAAAGGGAAAAAAGGGAGTAGTCAAAAGTAAAAAAGTGGCAGTCTATATATAGAAACAAAATAGGCTCTCTTCGCATGAATTAGCATTCGGGAGGGCAATGATTGGGTGGAATAGGGCGGGCTCGTATCGACTGATCACCCGTCGTCCCCTTCCACCGTTCCGTACGATGGAATGACTATGTATGTATATGGTTGTGGTCGTGGTGGCTAATTCTTGGAAAGGCTCCTTTTTACCTTCCTTTGCGCGATGATGTCAAGGTGGTTGATTTGAATTTCAAGGCCCCTTTCCTTCTGAGCTTATTTGTTAAGTTACGGATACTTTCCATGCATAAAAAAAAGGGGGAGGTTGGGGAAAATCCTAAAATCAAATCCAAATCAAATCCAAAAAAAAAAATTCAAGAAATTCAAAAATCCAAAAATCCAAAAATTAGTACTCCGTATCTTTGAAATATTCTAAAAATAATCTCACCCGCAAACGACAAGAACGGACGGTGCAACATGCAGAACTAAGTGAAACAATCTTCCGCGATCATCGTTCGTTCGCGGCGGAATATGCACACACTCTCTCTCTCCTAGACTCACTCTGGAGAAATCACATTCTCACATTCTCACATTCTCACCCACAGTCAGATAATACCAACGATGGCTTTTTTTCCCTTTTTCTCCCGTGCAAACTCTACAGTTGTCTGCACAGCCTCGCTCACTACAGGGGGGGTTGTATGTACTAACGATGTCACGACTAGAAGAACCAAGCCATCATCATCAGCAGCATCATCATCATCGCCTTTTCCCTCTTCCCTCTTCCCTCTTCCCTCTTCCCTCGATCTTCTCGTCATCCACCAGCCAACCAAAGACCGCTCGCTCCCACCTTCCCACCTGGGTGGCGTGAACCCCGAGGTGATCCGGTGTAATCTATACTAGTACCGGCGCCATACATGATACATTACCACGTCAATACCGAGGGCTTGCAGCAGAGCTGCAGCTGTCAATGCTCTTTGCTTTTTTGCTTGTGCTTTGATATAGTCGGTTTATCTGAGGAAGCAGAGGAAAAGTGATTGGGAATGGAGCTTGTGGGAGGTTATAAATTTTTTTTTTTTTTTTTTTTTTTTTTTTGGTTCGCCATTTACCCTTTTTTGTCATGTGGAAACCATCTCCATCCTCCATCACCCATCATAGATTGTCTGTCCCCTTGCAACCGTAACATTCTGCTTTTCTTCTTTTGTTCTGTTTTCGTATTTTTTTTTTAGTAATTTTTTTTTTTTTTTTTTTTTTTTTTTTTTTTTTTTTTTTTTTTTTGGTTCCCTGGCTACCAATTAGGAGGGAGTATCTTGCAACCCGGGCTGATGAAAAAAAGGACGGACAGGAAAAGGGAACAAATCCCAGGAAGAACATTTTAAATTCTCCGGAAAAGTTACCCGCCTAAGCAGCATCATGATAATATTAAATCATGCGGGAGTTAGTTAGTTAGAGAGGGCCCCTTGACCCATCCTTTCCCTGATTGCGAATAGGCTTGCAGCTATCAAGGAGATTTCCCTTTTTCCGTTAAGTCCTTGAGAGAGGCCCTCTCTGAACCCCGCTGACGCCGGGCGCCGTGCCCTGACACACCAGCCAGCAATTTTTTTTGTAATTCTCTCGCTACCAGAGGAGGAAGAGAAGAGGGACAAAAGAGTTTAGCAATGACCACAGATCTGGACTAAGCTGACCAGGTTTGTGACTTGAATTCGAAGGATTGAGCTTCCATGCATGGATGGGGTGGATGTTATGTTGATGTATGAGATGCTTACTTCCGATCTATCGCTTTTCGTTGTTCCCGATACGCGGATCATGAGCGTCTGGTAAGTTCGTCAACCTTTTGGAGGCGGCGGCGGCGGCGGCGGCGCAGGAGAAGTCATTCATTCTTGGGCCGTGCTTTTTGGCCATGGGTCAACGGATTGAGGACGAGGAATAATATAATACTACAGCGCGCGACACAGGGCTTGGGAAAGCCTTCAACCAATCAATGGAGTGTGTGCCCTTTAACTGATGATTTATTATATTGTATTTTATTTTCAGCGTATGGACCAAAGGGAACGGGTTCTGCATCGCGAGTGCAGCCTGTGGAGAGCAATACTGCGGACTCCGTACTGTGTACTGTGTACCGCCTACTCCGTACAGCAGCCTTCCCTTAACTATACCAGCCCCCTCAGATCCAAGCTCCACCAGCAGACATAGAAGACAGCGTCGAAAGTACGGAGTAATCTGTCCACCACCGCCGATTGGCTGGCTAGCGGTGGCTTTCTTTTGCTGCTGCCCAGAATGAGCCAGACAGAGCCAGACACGGGCAGACCCCAAGCGAGCGAGGACAAGGTTCGGCGCTTGCACTAGGCCCGAAGCAAAGCAGAGCGTGGTATCAATGGCGTATCTGTGGTTGTGTGTGTTGTTGTGGTGGATTTGGGTTTTCTGGGATTCCTGGGACCGGTTCCCGCAGTCCAACCGGTGGGCCGCCCGCGGTGGGTGGGATGAGGGCAAGTGGGAAGCGCTGT